ATGTTATATTATTTTTTGAATGCAAATATGTATTAATCATTTTATTGGTTGGTTTTATTTTTTATCAGTAAACATGTGTTTTATTTAAATTTCATATTGGAAATAGTTTATACAACTTCACCCAACACCAAGATGTTTTTCATATTAGGCACTCACCCATATACACGTTATATTATTTTTTTGAATGCAAATATGTATTAATCATTTTATTGGTTGGTTTTATTTTTTATCAGTAAACATGTATTTTATTTAAATTTCAGATTGGAAATAGTTTATACAACTTGGTGATGGGACTGATGGTCTCTTTTTTCTTATCAACACTAATGGTCCCATTTAAGCACTCTTTTCTGTCCCTCATTTCAGTGCAGCCCAAAATAATTGTTGTCTCGTTGCCCCTTGTTTTGCTAGATAGTCAACTAGCCCATTTACACTCATTCAGACCCATTTGAATTCAGCCTCAACCTCCTTTGCAATCTTTTCCACTTCCCTAATCACATGTTTAAACATCCACAGGGTATGGTTGTTGTTTGCAGTCCAAGAAATGACCACTTTTGAGTCCCCTTCCACTTCAAATATGCCTGAACCCCATTTATTTAGCTAACTTCAAACTTTGTAGTAATGCCAAGAATTTAGTCTTCAGTGAACTCCTTTCAGAATTTTTTATTACTCCTCCAGTCCTCCTATACTTGATAGTCCTGGATTTCCAAGGGAGCTCCCATCAAAATTCAGTTTGATTTTATTGCCTTTTGGTAGTTTCCTCTCCAACCTTACTTTGTCTCTCACTCTCGAGGACTGTGCTACTTCAATCCAGGTTCTTAGAATGTCTGTGATTGAGAAGGCTTGAAAGTTGTCCAAGGATTTTACCCAGAGAGCTATTTTCACCTTGATGTTGTCAATAACTTCCTCTATTGTTCTACTTTTCTCTAAGAAAAACCTGTTATTCCTTTCTTCCTACACCACCCAGCAAATTGCTACCTTTGTTGCTTTCCACATTACCATCCCTCTTGTCTTTCGTTGTCTTAAGAATTCACGGTTGAAAAGTCTTGCCACATCTTAAGGGAGAGCCCACTTGCAGCCAAAGAGAATACAAAAGAATTCCCAAATTTGAAGCACAAAAGAACAAGATATTATTAAATGAGATAGGGCCTCACCACTTTCCTTACACAAAGAGCACACATGAGAAGAAAGGCAAGCATAAGCCTTCTTCAGCTCCAAACTATACCTGGAAGACAATCTATGAGGTATTACCAACCTTTCTTCAATTTATCAGATTTGATGTTGGATTTGGCAATAAAGTTTTATTCTGGGAAGACCTTTGGGTTGGGGATATGCCTCTTATGGTTAAATTCCCGAAACTCTACTCTTTATCAAACCTTAAAAACAAACTTGTTGCTAGGTTTGGTTTGCTCTTAACTTTGGTATCTCTTGGCATTTTGGGTTCAGAAGAGGGTTGAGGGAAAATGAATGTGAGTCTCTAGTGCTTTTAATCTCAACACTTGAGAGGGTCTACTTAGACTAATCTATAGCTGATAGTAGAGTTTGGTCCCCAACTCCTGATGGTTTATTTTCTTGTGCATCTTTCTTTGGTTTGCTCACTCATTCTGACCCTATGGGGGTGAACTTCCCTGTAAAAGAAATATGGTGTAAACCGATCCCTCCAAAAGTACAAGCTTTCTGTTGGGAAGTGTTCTTAGGAAAGGTAAACACTTACGATGTGCTACAGAAAAGGAGGCCAAATAAATGCCTCTCTCCTCAGGTGTGTGTCCTTTGTTTGGATTGTGGTGAACCCACCCCACCCCCCCCCCCCCATTTACTTTTATCTTGCCCTTTGTTTCTGGTATTTGGAATGTTGCTTGTTCTCTCTTTGGATGCATATGGGCTCCCCCACTAGATGTGGTAAGCCTTTTTAGCCCCTCCTTCCTGAGACAATAGAATAAAAGAGGAAAATGCTTATGGGAGGCAGCAAGAGCAGCTATAGTATGGACTATATGGGAGGAAAGAAACCTAAGAATTTTCTCTGAAAAAAGTAAACCAAAGGAGGAAGTGATTGAAGCCATAAAAATCAGAACTGCACATTGGGTGAAGACCATGGAGCTATTCAAAAATTTCTCCACGAATGAGATTTTAAGAAGTTGGGTTGAAGTAGCACTAACCATGGTTTCAAATATCGCCAAATGTCGCCCGATATATGTCAATGTCGAGGCTCACCAACATGAAAATGGATGGTAATATAAAAATTACATTATGTCGGTCGACATTTCCTATATTTCGGAAATGTCAACCAAATCGGTCCAAATAACCAAAAAAATACAGTTTTTCCTATTATGTTGACAGGATGTCAACTAATGTACATTAAAAATATAATATATTAGTATATTATATTAATATAATAAAGTATATTAATAAAGATTATTCCATTAATAATTTCTATTTAATATTTCAAACAAAATATTTATAAAAAATAATTAACAAAATATAAAAACAAAAGAATAAATTAATTACTTTATAATATAAAACATAGAATATTTTTCAAGTAATAAAATATTAACCCGTTAGTATTTTTTAAAATATTTATTAAAATCAGAAAATGTTTATTAAATTTTATAATAAATCATATTCTACATTTAATATAAAAAATCAGAATAAATTTTATACTAAATCATAATTTATTATTAATTTAGTATTAAAAATCATAATAAATTCATTAAGTTTTATAAGAAATCAGAATTTATCATAATCTTAATACTACAGAAAGGAGAATCAGTTTATTAAATTTATAATAAAACATAATGTATTATAACTTTAATATTTAAAAAAATCAGAATAATTGTATTTCTATTTACTAGTGTGAAATAAWTATATTAGAATTTATAATAAATCAGAATTAAAAATAGGAAAAGAAAATATCAGATAACCTTGTAAAAGCCTCAAAATGCATAATAAATTAGTAAGTCGTCATTTACTAATTTGTTATTGATCGTAGTCTCTTAGCTTTATATAATGGTTGGGAATAAGATAATAGTCTAGAAATATGTACTAATGCTTCTTTTATCATTTTGCAAAATATCTTTGCATATTTCCACGTATTTCATAATATTTCCACAATGTCTGTAATTTTTACAATATTTCCCCTCGACATTTCCGGCATATGTCCTATATTTTGGTAAGCGACATTTACATCGACATCGACATTTTAAACCTTGGCACTAACAGATGCACCCAAAGTAATTGTGAGTGAGGACTGGAAGCCACCGGCACTGAACAAACTAAAACTAAATTTTGATGGGAGTTCTTTTGGTAACCTAGGAAGGGTAGGCATAGGGGGTGTGATTAGAAATCATCAGGGTGTGGTGGTGACACTCTTCTCAGGACCAATAGGTATTGGTGACTCAATACAGGCTGAATCTCTAGCCCTACTTCAAGGTCTAAAGATGGTTGAGCAGATCGCAATAACAGGCTTAGAAATAGAAGGAGACTCACTACTGGTCATTTCTTGGGCTAAAAACACCACTTAAGTACCTTGGAAGCTCAAATTTATCTTCAGGGAACTTGACATACTTACAAGGAGGATCAACTCTCAGTTTGGTTGGGTCAAACGGAGCGCAAATGGAATGGTGAATACCCTAGCAAAACAAGGGGCAAATAGATCTACACTGTACTGGGCAGAACTATAACTATTTATTTGTGGGTGCAAATTAGATTAATGCTTTTCTGCTACCTATAACTTTTGTAACTGATTGTAACCTTTGCTACTTTATTAATAAAATTTCTTGTTGATAAATAAAAAGCATAAAGCCTTCTTCTCTGTAGCATATCACAAGTGTTTACCTTTCCAAGGAATATTTCCCAACAGAAGGCTTGAATTTTCGGCGGAATAGGCTTGCACCAAACTTCTTTCACAGGGAAATCCCCAATTAGGAGGTTGGGGGATGCAAGTACTCTAAAGAAAGAAGAGCAAGAGAAGAGACCATCTAAAGAGCCTACCCAAATTCTAGTGTCTTCTAACGACATGTCCAAGTGGTTTGCCCTAGTAGGTCCAGCAATTATTTTATTAGAATACACCATATTGTATGTTACCATTTTTATTAAGATAATTCTCTTTTATATTAAAGCTACAAAAGTTTCTTTGGGTTTGAGTTCCAATGCGAGAGTTGAGAAGAGAAGCCGAGGACTGAGAAGTTTCCATTGTTCAGTCTAAGTTGTCCAAGACCTCCAAGTAAGTTTCTTCTTTAACAAATATTTTTGGGATGAAACAAGAGCTCCGCCGCCTCCTCCTCCTTCTCCTCAAATCACACTAGTACTCCTATATTTTACTTTCTTACTTCAGGAAAAAAAAAACACTTTTGGGAACGAAACAGGGGCTTTGCCCCCTTCTTCTTCTTAAACCGGGGTTGTGCCCCAACTTTCTAAAATTTTCCTATATTTTTTTGCACTATTTTTTAATAATGTGCTTTTTTGAACGAAACAAGGGCTCTGTCCCTTTATTTTTCTCTCTTCCTTTTTGTTGCATTCACCATTTTTATTAGCCTGAAACAAGGCCTCTACCCCCTTAAACACAAACCAAGTTGTCCTCTTGGACAACTTATTTTTGAAATGAAACAGGGGCTCTGCCCCCTTATTTTTCTCTCTTTTTTAGCTGCACTCCCCCTTTTTCGTTGGCCTGAAACATGTAGATGTATATATGATGGCATTTTATGTTTTATTTGAATGATTTTATTGCCAATAGCTAGTATACAGCTATATTGGTTAGTATAAAAAATTAATAAAGTAGCTTAAAAGGGGTAGGAATACTTATTTTATAAATTTATACTTTCAAATTCCATAGCCTAGGCGCCCCATGGTCACCTAGGCTCGCCTAGGCACCTTGACAACTATGCCTATAGCTCAAGTAGGAATTCCTGTGGAGAGGCATGACTCATTAAGCAAAACATTTTTCAAGGCAAGTTCAGATTAACAAGAAGGATATGAACTCAAGCATTAACTACCATTAAGTTCATTACCTGAGTAGCAATAACTAAAGTAAACTGTGAAAAGAAAGAAGGATTTGTCTCGATCAGTGCCTCTGGGGACTCCTCCACAAATTTCGCCTTAACAGCATCATTTAGTTCCTGCAGGAAGGCACATACACATTTTGCCTTTGATTGCCCAATGCTTGATTCATCCACTGCACATGGAACAATATGGTTAGTAAAGAAAGATAAGTATTATATCACTCACCCCACCCCACACCCAAAGACTTCTTGAGAGATTAAAATACCCATGAAGTTATTCCCAAGGTCAGCAACTTCAACTTTGGAACCATCAATGACCGTTATACTTCCAATTCCACCAAGAACAAGGTTTTTTAATGTTTCAGAACCAGTAGGACCACAGTTAAGTAAACAAATGCTAGCATTCTCGAGGGCTGCCTGTCCTTGTTCTCCCCATATCCTGCAATTGCAATTAGAATAAACCGTGTAAAAGATGCAAGAGGAAACAACATTGAAACAGCTACCAAGGAAAATGCTCGGATACTTTTACTAATACTTCTACAAGAGTATGTCATACTTCTACAAGAGTATGTCATTCTGCATCATTGGACAGAACCACCGTTACATGTGTGCCTGTTTGGTTTACTAAAATCACACATTACAAATCAGAAAGGCTGTATCACACACCAAAGAAAAAGAAAAAGCTCTCTGAATTCTAAATTACGATAACCACCGATGGTCCAATACTTGGTTGAACGACTGCTAAAAGCTTTATTCACCACTAACCAACATTTGATTATCAAACTCTACTTAGCGTTTATTCCTTAGCAATATATACCATTGCAATGGTAAAAAAATGGAAATATTTGACTAATTCATGTAAGACGGGGGAGAAAGAGAGGGCGAGAGAGAGAAGTATATCGAGTCTTTGGAGGTATTCTAAAATCTCTTACAAGTTTCAGGGGTTGCTTTCGAGACCATAAGACAGCAGAAACCATTACAACTACAGACACCTTTGAACTAAATTCCATGTTTTCAAAGAGAAGATTAACCATCGTTTAAGAAGAAGCACGGAGGAAAAGCAAATGGATTTGGAAGTTGACTGAAAGCACCGCGGCTAGGGCAAGCGAAAACCATCGGAGAAATTGTACAATGCACAAGGGTATGGTGGTCATCTAATGAAAACGAGTGGTGGGGAAAGTACCTCAGCTGTCGATCGTATTTCGTCTTTGGCTCCGCCATGGATGGCTCGTACAAGAGAGTGCTGTTGAAGATGATGAAGGAAGTTTGAGCAGAGTATCTTTGTTTGCTAGCTTCGCTTTATAGCAACGCTAGAGACTGACGCAGTTAATTACTGGAATTTTACTCTTTTTCATGACTCGTAAGTCCTAAACCGGCCGCGAGTCCGCGAGGCCCGCAACTGGAAAAGCCGAGATGATGGCAAATTGGAAATGGGTAGTCGGATTTGGGTAAATGGGTAGTCGAATCTGGGTTATATGCATTTAGTGATAAACCTACTCAGATGTGATCTCCTGCCCACAAGAACTCCACCCACACTACCCCTGTGAATTGGGAATATCTCCCCTGCATAATATTATGCAGAGGATGAGATGTTCTCAATGTGTGGCTGCAATGGGTAAGAGATCCGGACTCTAAACTACTTGCAAAATGTGCTAACACATTCTCATACTTGATATCTTTTTTTTTTTTTTGACAAGTAAATCCATAATATATTAACAAAAAGAGCAGCTTACAAAGTTTTGAACATCGTCCACAATATGAGGATAAGCAGGTAACAAGAAATGTCCCTATATAACATTTTTACTCCATTTTTCTAATTGATGTGCAAGAACATTATACCTCGTATTAATATATAGGAACTGCAAAGATCTAAAAACATAAAGCAGATTTTGAGTTTTTATTAGCAGTCCTAAGGATGACGAATGTAGCGATGTTTGATTCTGAATAGCTTGGATCACAATATGGGAGTTTGAACAAAACATCGGATGAAATTTTCCAAGTTGTTGAGCCAAAATACTTCCTTGATAGATAGCAAAAAGTTCATCTTCAGCTACAGATTTTAATTTTTTTCTTTCTCCTGCAATTTGAATACAATGTAATTGAACATTTAGTATGATAATTCCATAGGAAAATAATGAGTGGTTAACTTTCCCTGCATCAGTGAAAATGATACAATCAGTATACTATTTGATCTGTAAACAAAGTTGAGGGGATAATTCTGCAGATAGATCTGACTGCGCATGAGAGCCCGAAACTGCCTGAAAAATAGAATTAATTTTCCTTATAACACAAAGATTGGAAATATTGGAGTCTTTGAAAATTCTCTCATTTCTTGCAAACTAGATGTAATATAAAGCAATAGCATACCAAGAAAGTATTGTCCAAAAAGTGTTTTTATCTGGGCTCTCATGATCAATATTAATAATACAGTCAATCCAAGATGAAGGAGTTACATCAGTAAAATTTATATTCCAGAGTGAGGCGAAAAGAATAGACTTTGTAAAGGGACACTCATGGAAAAGATGATTTTGACAGAAAACACATGTTAGATCTTGAGTGTCAAAAAGGATTTTATCCTTTACAGGGATGTAACTATGGATAATTTTCCAAAATAAAAGTTGATAACGAGGGGAACAAGAATTTTTCCAGATCCTTTTGATTAAAAATTTTATTTGATTAGATAGAAAAAGGAATAGAATCTTGAATTAAAGCAGTATAAGCAACTGAACTTTTGAATTTTCCTAACAATTGCTTAGTCCAAATCCAATGGTAGGAAGTATTTGCAAGTAAAATAGGAGTATTAAGAATTTGAGAAGTTTGGTGAGAGTCAAAATGACTTTGGATTGTTGATATGTGCCAAGTACCGTTTGCCATGAGATTAGAGAAAGTAATATATGCTAAGTGAGCAGGGATAGGTTGATTAATTAGCTGAAAATTATCATTAACTTGTTTTTAGGGAACTTGAGTAATATTATCCATGGAAGAGATCAAGACAAAGAAACCTACCTATGGGAAAAGATTTTGCAGTTTGGGTGCTACCGATTTCCAAAAATAATAACTAGAATAAGGAATTTTGTAAGGAAAAAGGGTATTACGGGGTAGGTATTTAGATTTCCATAATGGGGCCCACCAATTTTGCTGATTATTAAGAAATTTCCAAGCGAGTTTCTTAAGAAGGACAATGTTAATTAACTTTGTTTGTCTAAAACCTAGTCCACCAGCTGATTTAGGAAGAGTGACTTTGTTCCAAGGAGGCTAATGATAAGGATAGGGATTTTTTTTCAGATCCACCAAAAATTTTTAATGATTCAATCAATCTCATTAATTGTTTTCTGAGGTAATTGAGCTACAGACATGGAATGAGAAGGAATGGATTGAAGAACAAATTGTATAAGAACCGGTTTACCTACTTGACTAATGGTGGATGCTTTCCATTTATTAAGTTTATTCTTAAGATTTTTCAATATAAAAGAGAATCAGGAATGCTTGTTGCATCCCCAAAGTAAAGGGAGACCTAAATATTTTGAATTTGCAGGAAGAGCTTTCATTTGGAGTTGTCTTCGAATCATACGTTGATGTTTTGAGTGAGTATTTTTACTAAAATAGATACCATATTTGTCTAGATTAATGAGTTAACATGAACGATTTTGAAACTGGTGGAGAAGAGTTTTAAGGGAATCTAATTTATCTCTATGACTTCTTAAGAATAGAAGAATGTCATAAGCAAATAATAAGTGAGAGATGGTTGGGGCTCGGGGGTAGATTTTTAATCCTTGGATTTGGTTATCATTGTCAACTTTGGAGATCATACGAGTTAAGTATTCCATGGCAATAATAAAAAGGTAAAGAGATAAGGGGTTTCCTTGCCTGATGCTCCTAGTAGGTAAAATTCGGCCCTCTGTAAAACCATTGATTAGAATGGAATAAGAAACTGAGGAAATACATTCATGAATGATTTGAAATTCTGGGAAAAATCCTAATGCTTTGAGAATTTTAAGAAGAAAAGACCACTCGAGATGATCATAGGCTTTTGCCATGTCTAGTTTAATGGCCACATAGCTTATACCTTTTTTTATGATGTTTCAGGTAGTGAAACATTTCATAGGCAATAATGGTATTGTCCACCATTTATTAGCCTGGAATAAAAACCGATTGGTTAGGAGAGATACATTTATCCAGGATAGTACGAAGTCTATTACCTAGAATTTTTGAAAGGATTTTGTATAGAACATTATAAAGACTAATTGGACGATAATCCTAAACTATGGTACAATTTTCCTTTTTGGGAATTAGACAGATAAAAGTATGATTGAGATGCTTCAATAGTTTCCTATTTTGGAAGAATTGTTTAGCAAAAGCTATGATATCAACACCCATCAAGTTCCAGAATTCTTTATACATCAAGGCAAGCATTCCATCTACTCTAGGAGATTTAAGACTCCCTATACTGAACAGTGCTGATTTGTTCTCTTCTTCATAAAGGATAGCAGCTAGCATCTGATTATCTTCCTCAGTGATGATGGGGTTTAAAAGTTTGGTGATAGAAGTCAAATCAGAAGAGGAATGGTGAGTAAAAAGATCTGAAAAATAGTCGATAAAGGTTCTAGCTATATCCTTATGATCAGTCACCCAAGTCCTTTGATCATTTTTAATTCCTTGAATTTCATTTCGTCTCTGGTGACACATTGTACTTTTGTAAAAGTAATTAGTATTTCTGTCTCCCAAATTTAGCCAGAGTTGTTTGGATCGTTGTCTCCAAAAACTTTCAATTTGTAATTGTGCTTCATCATATTTTTTGTATAGAGACCTTATTTCCATATGATTCCAAGGGGTATTTTGTTTAGATTGAAGTATCTGGGATTTCAGTTGATTCAAGTGATGGTAGGGATCAATGAATTTGGTTTTCTTCCGATGAATGAGATTTTGTTTGATTTTGTCCATCATTGATGAGATTTGAAAAGCCTCATAACCAGTCACCAAAGAATTCCATCCATTTACTATTTCAATTTTACATGTTTCATTTGAAAGCTACATTTCAAAAATTTTGAAAGGTTTAGGATGTTGATCCCTTTTTGAGGAAATATCAAGGATTATAGGATGATGATCAGATCCCCAATGAGCAGAAATATTGAGGGTTGCATGAGGAAAGGTTGAGATCCAATTTGGGTAGTTAAGGTTCTATCTAGAGTCCTATTGACTACACCTATAGATCTCTTATTAGACCAACTCATTTTACTACCTTGGATATAAATTTCAATAAGATTATGATCAAGGATCAAGGTACTGTATTGAGTAGAGGAAAGTCTAGTTGTTCTGTCAGAGGAAGAAGGATCTTGGATTATGATATGATCTGCCTCATTAAGGTCTCCAACAAGTAAAAAAGGAAGATTAATGTTTTGAAGCCGTTGATTTAATTGAAACCAGAAATTATTTCTATGGGCTTTTACCGAGGGTCCATATATAAACCCAAGCAACCAGTTATCTAAAAAGGGAGGTAAAGATATGTTCAGAAAAGTGTACCTCAAGTAATGCAAAAAGACATAAACATTTAAATCATTACTCCAAAAAATAGCTAATCCTCTTGCTCGTCCTTTAGGAGGAAGTAATTAAGTGTCAGAGTATTGAGAACGATTAGCTAGAAATTGCATTTTTTCAGTAGGAATTTTGGTTTCACAAAGGAATATAAAGTAATGATCAAAATTTTTGACCAAAAGTCCTAATCCTTGAATTGTCTTAGGGCATTCTGCCCCATCGCAGTTCCAACTCATAATTAACATTGGTAGTAATATGGTTGTTGGAGGCCAGCCACCACTGCCATTTTTTGTAGAGTAAGAAAAAGAAAGAAAAGAAGAGAAAAACAGACCAAATTCGTAGTAGCTTCCAGATTATCTTCATCTATCATTAAAGCTTGAGTGGGAACTGTCAAAGTTGTCGCATTTTCCAGATTAGGGTGAATAATAGATAAGATTCTTTCTATCTGATTGCTATGGGAAGATTCTGGTCGGTCATATACAGGGGGTTGGTAGAGTCTTCCACTTCCAGATGTTGAAGAAGATCAATCCGAGGTTGTTTTCCTCGAGAAGAGGAAGGATCCATAGGGCTAGAAGAAAGCAGATTGGACAGAACATGTTGGGTGTGTTGAGCAAGATGAAAAGTTTCTAAAGAAACTCTCATTGTAGGAGGAGTACTAGTAGAGTGATTAGAGGTAGCTTCTGAAGAAATGACTCAAGCTAAAGTAGTATCAGTAGGATGAGATGAATGTAGAGGTGCCGATGGAGTAGGAGCCGGTGGTGTGGTTGTTGGGGGAGAGTTTGTTGGAACAGGAA